GCTGCAAAGCGGGGTGGTACTTCACAGTGCTGGCATCCCTGGATTGCCCAGTGCCTGCCTGTGCAGCCAGCACCCACCCCTCACTGGGGTGGGGGCTCGTCCTAGGAGTGTGGGAGGGACAGCACATCCTCTTCTGGGTCTGGGAACTGTGTTTCTTTCCCACAGTCCCTGGTCCAGTCCAGGAAAGCCGGAATCACGTCCGCGCTGGCCTCGAGCACCTTGAACAACGAGGAGCTGGTAGGTGCCAGGGCTGGCTGGGGTGTGGGTGCTCATGGTGGGAGGGCTGAGCTGTTCCAGCACCAGAGATGTAGGGTGTGTGCCACACCAGCATCCTCCTCCAGCAGTGCCACAGCTGCTCCTCTGGCTGGGGTCTCTGCCCCTTGCTGCGTGGCTCAGCTGCTGTACGTTGCCTGAGCTTTTCTCCCCTTCTCTCTTCTGTTCCGGAACAGAAAAACCATGTTTACAAGAAGACCCTGCAAGCCTTAGTGTACCCCATCTCCTGCACGACGCCTCACAACTTCGAGGTGTGGACGGCCACCACTCCCACCTACTGCTACGAGTGCGAGGGGCTGCTCTGGGGCATCGCCCGGCAGGGCATGCGCTGCGCCGAGTGCGGCGTGAAGTGCCACGAGAAGTGCCAGGACCTGCTCAATGCTGACTGCCTGCAGAGTAAGGAGCTGTCACCCGCAGCCTCCACCCTTCTCACTTCAGAGGGGGAGGAGGGAGTGGCCCGAGGAGAGCTGGGTTTTGCTGCCTTGTGCCCAAGTGGTGAGCAGGGCAGCTCTGTCCTGGGTAGGATGTACACCCCTCCCTCCAGGTGTGGATCCATTCATGCGTGGTGGGCTTAGGGAGCTCCTCTCTATCTCCTGGATGCCACTTGCCCCTCCCAGCTCCATCTCACCCACGGCTGTCCTCTCCCAGGGGCAGCAGAGAAGAGCTCCAAGCACGGAGCAGAGGACCGGACCCAGAATATCATCATGGTGCTCAAGGACCGCATGAAGATTCGAGAGCGCAACAAGCCGGAGATATTCGAGCTGATCCAGGAGGTGTTTGGAGTCACCAAGACCACGCACACGCAGCAGATGAAGGCCGTGAAGCAGAGTGTCCTGGATGGCACCTCCAAATGGTCGGCCAAGATCAGCATCACGGGTAGGCACTGCTTGTGCCTGGCACCATGTGCTGTGGGGCACCACGTGGCCGCGGGGCACCACGTGGCCGTTCCCCGGCATGAGGATGCTGCACGCCCCAACCCCCTCCTGCCCCTCCAGCTGCAAAGTGGCTTCAGCCCCTGGGAGTCTCCCTGGGGACACAGAGTGGCTGTTGCAAGGGTCTGGGTGGGGCTGTGGCACTGACCCCTCTCTCTGTTCTCTTCGCTGTGTGCCACGCCTGTGCCTCGTGTGGATGGGCACTGCAGTCGTCTGTGCCCAGGGCCTGCAAGCGAAGGATAAGACAGGTTCCAGTGACCCATATGTCACTGTCCAGGTTGGAAAGACAAAAAAAAGGACCAAAACGATCTATGGCAATCTCAACCCGGTCTGGGAGGAGAATTTCCATTTGTAAGTTCACCCCCAGCTCTTCCGTGCCACTTCCTCATGGTCATGCTGGGCTGGGCTGGCTGCCAGCACATCTCTGGGAGGTGGTGGGGATTCAGCTGGGGCCTCATCCTGCCCCAGCCGAGGGTGGAGGGGGGGCTGCTGGGGTCACTGGGAATGCTGGTTTTGTGCCATGGGGGGTTTGGCTCCCAGCTGCGGAGTGCTGATCCGTGCTGGGGCAGAGCCCAGCGGTGCCCACCAGGGAGGGCTGGTGCCCCCACATCTGCTCTCTTCCCCAGTTCCTGCCCGGTGCTGGGATCATCCCTCATGTTTAGGGCAAGAGAGGCTGGGGAGAGGATGGGAAGAGTTACACCCTACAATCAACAGTGAAAAAAAAAAGGGCTTGCCTCTTCTCACCTCCCCAGCGAGTGCCACAACTCCTCCGACCGCATCAAGGTCCGTGTCTGGGACGAGGACGACGACATCAAGTCCCGTGTCAAGCAGCGCTTCAAGAGGGAGTCTGACGACTTCCTGGGCCAAACGATCATCGAGGTCCGGACCCTGAGTGGGGAGATGGACGTCTGGTACAACCTGGGTAATCCGCTGGGGCTGGGCCCCTGGGAGGAGGAGCTGCCAGCTCTGGGGTGAAGGTGGCTGCAGGGTGTTAGTGCAGGGCCTGCTGCTAAAAACACTTGGTACCTAAAGCCGTTGGGATCAAGTGTTTTCCCAGGGTCAGTCTTGTAGAATCATGGAATCATTAAGGTTGGAAAAGACCGCTAAGGTCGTCAAGTCCAAACATCAACCCAACGCTACCATGACCACTAAACCGTGTCGCCAAGTGCCACGTCCACATGTTTTTTGAACCCCTCCAGGGATGGGGACTCCAGCACCTCCCACTGTCAGGAAAAAGAAATCTTACTAATATCCAGATTCCTCTTCTCCTGTCGCTAGTTACCTGGGAGAAGAGACCAACACCCACCTCACTTCTCAAAACACTTTTCCCAGGAGGTCTGGAGCACCAGTCCTCTGGAGAGGGGAAACTGAGGCAAGGGAGAGGCCACATCTCTGTAGTGCCTGCAGACATGGCCTCGTCCCTCTTGGCAATGTCTAGGCTGCTTTGTACTCCACTCTGGCTGCACTTGGAGCAGAGTGTCCCCTTGTCCCCAGCCCCAAAATCCCCTCCTTGGTGCCTGGGGTGAGCAGAGTGGCTCTGGGGGAAGCCTCACGTCTCGTCCTCCCGCTGTGCCCCTGCAGACAAGCGCACGGACAAGTCGGCCGTGTCGGGAGCCATCCGGCTGCACATCAGCGTGGAGATCAAGGGCGAGGAGAAGGTGGCTCCCTACCACGTCCAGTACACCTGCCTGCACGAGGTGAGGGGCCCAGGCAGGCCCAGGGGGGCAGGGTGCCCACCCCGCCGATGCCACCGTGCCACCAGCGTTCCCGGGGCGCTGACGGGACTCGTCTGTCCCTGCAGAACCTGTTCCACTTCGTGACGGATTTGCAAAACAACGGGGTGGTGAAGATCCCCGACGCCAAGGGGGATGATGCCTGGAAGGTGTACTTTGATGAGACAGCTCAGGAGATCGTGGATGAGTTTGCCATGCGCTACGGGGTGGAGTCCATCTACCAGGCCATGACGTGAGTCCCTCGCCTCTCACAGAGGTTGTGATGCTCTGGGCAGGGGGGTCACTGTTGGCATCTCCCTCCCGGGCAGCCATTGGCACCCACCACCCCGCCATGGGTGCAGAGATGCTGCTGTAGCTCACCCCACACCCGTGAGCCTCTCCCTTCCCCTTAGAATCATAGAATCCTTTAG